ACACTCTTACATATACATAACATATAAATATTAATCACTGTCCATCTTGAATACATAATGGAAGGAGGAAGCTTGAGAGTTCACAAGGTTAATACTATATGGAACAAAACTGTGATTGAATCTGGATGTTCTCCTTCAGATACCACGGAGCGTCCTCCCAGAAGGTAACAAGGAAAACAGGTCATGACGAGGATGTGTCGTATCCCAAACAATCTTACGGACTCTGCTCAAGCAACGATTCTGTGCTATGTCCTGGATGGGAGGGAGGGAATTGCCAATAATCTTTTCAGCCATCCTCACCACTCTCTGCACCGCCTTCCTGTCTGAAGCAGTGATGCTTCTAAACCAGAGTGTAATGCAATATGACAGGATGCTCTCGATCGTCCCTCTGTAGAGAGTGTACGGATAGGGGAAGGAAGATGTGCTTTTCTCATGCAATGCAGAAAATGCAGGTGCAGTTGTGCCTGCTTCATCAGTGTCACACTATTGAGCGACCATGCCAGCCTATTTGTTAACTGCACACCCAGGAATTTGATGCTGGTAACCAACTCCACAGGTGAATCATTAATGCACAGAGAAGTGTGGCTGTGCCTGCCTTTTCTGAAATCGACAATGATCTCTTTGGTTTTTCCAGTGTTTAAAACTAGGCTATTTTCCTTAACACCAGTTCACCAAGCCCTACACCTCCTTGCGGTAAGCACCCTCACTGTCATCATGAATAAGGTCCACTACTGTTGTATCATCTGCGAACTTCACAATATGGTTGGTGGCAAACCTAGCACAACAGTCATGGGTCAACAGGGTGAACAGCAGCAGACTTAGGATGCAGCCCTGAGAACCTGTGCTCAAGAAAATGGTGTTAGAAATATTTGTTCCAGCTCTCACATACTGAGGCCTGTTAGTAAGAAAATGAAGAATCCAGTTGCACAAAGGAGTGTTTAAGCCTAAAAGGCCCAGTTTGTCTACTAGATGGTGGGGAATGATTGTGTTAAATGCGGAACTGAAGTCGACAAACAACAAATGTGCATGAGTATTTATTTTATTTTATTTTTAAAATTTATAAGCCGCCCCACTCCCGAAGGACTCTGGGCGGCTAACAATAAAAAACACATAAAACATAACAAAACAAACAATACAAAGACAGTCATCCAGGGGTCAGGTTTTATAAACCCCAGGCCTGCCGGAAAAGCCAGGTCTTAAGTAGCTTACGGAAGACCAACAGGGTGGGAGCGGTCCTAATCTCCAGGGGGAGCTGGTTCCAAAGCGTGGGCGCCATCACAGAGAAGGCCCTCCTCCGCGGCCCCGCCAAATGGCACTGCTTGGCCGACGGGGCCTGAAGGAGGCCCAGCCTGTGGGATCTAACCGGACATAGGGAACTATGAGGTAGTAGTATTTCTTCAAGCTCAGCTGGAGAACAAAAGAAATAGCATCATCAGTAGAGTGATAAAATAATTATCTTAACTATATTGCAGGCTTGCAAAATCCAGAATTCTTTTAGCATATTGATAAATTCCATAAATGATATTACCAGCATATGTTTTTCTTTTTTCAAACATCAGGGAAAAAAATGCAAAACCTATTTTAAAATGTTCAGTTTTAAACACCTTAATTTTAGATCTTCATTTTTATGGCTGAAAGGACAGGTAGAAACAGGGATGTGCCACTGGGCACAGGAGTACCCTGCATATATATATATACTCCTAGTGACCATATGCCTCTAAAGTATTGATATCTTGAAGAGGAAAGCTTTATTTTTACTGACAATTTCATTTTTTCACATGGAACAGCCTATCTTGGATGCCTCCTTATCTATTTGACAATTGAGTAGGGATATTTTTTTTCAGACTCATCCAAACAATTGAATTGATTTTCCAAATCCTTCAGAATCACATCAGGTAAGAGCCAACTTTTCAACTGATGCCACTATTTGTTTCTTTAATATATTTTGAGCATGTTTAACCCTTCCCACAATCAATGTCGCTTCAAACCTTCTTGCTGTTTCTCAGTTTGGCTGGTTTACTGTTTGCATACATTAGATACTTGCAAGCATACACTGCAACTTATTATAAGAGTCATAATTTGTTTTGATATCCTTCTTGACTGCCTTGGGCCACTCCACCCTTCAAATCCATATGAATATCAAATACTGTAGAGAAGATATTAAAGTTATTTTCTCCCAAGGAACTCCACAGTACACAATACTGTTTCGGTTTCCATTAATAGATCTTATCAATCTAAGGCAGGCAATTCAGCAACAACTAGTGGAGAACTGCCATGGAAAATAATGTCTGAACAAGCAAACATGATGAAAACACAAATACATAACGCTTTAACAAAGGCTTAAAAGTATGTTTATGGTTAAAAGTATGTCATGAGTGACTTTGGGCCAGTCGCACTCTCTCAGCCCACATTACCTTACAGGATTGTTGTTGTGAGGAAAGGAGGAGGAAAGATATTAGATGTGTTTCCCGCCTTAAGTTATTTATAAAAATAAAAAGGTAGGGTACAAACCATCAAAGAGATAAATAAACATGAACGCAAGTTCTTATCCCAAGTCCTCTAAGAAGCCACTGCTTTAACATTCAAAATCTACCAGTATTCTAGTCAAAATTGATTCCCACAGTAGTTTCCCCTCATCTCAAGATGAATTTTTCAGATTTTGTTAACAAAATTCATTTAAAGAACTGGCATTTTGGGCAATTGCCAAAGGCAGAAGCCAACTTGCCAAATCCAAGCTGCTATTTGTGTGGTTGCCATAAACCAAAATGCATGTTTTTAATGACAGAGTTCCAATTAGCTACTGCCAAGGGATGTCAAAGAGAGATGTCTCCAGATGGGAGGAGAAAATCCTTGGGTGCAACAGCACAAGTTAAAAGGCACTGCAGGAAATCATGTAATTACTCAACTGAGCAGTCAGAAACTATACAAACTTACAGGCGATGCCAAATTCCTTTAACCAGAGTTTTCCACTGAGAGTTGTGTATTCACGCCTTATACAGTGTATTCAATATATGCAGGCAGCTGTACAATATGTATATAATATTCCAATTATTCTCAACAAGAGAGTTCTTTCACACTCAACATGTCAGTATACAGAATACGTTGCTCATTTTCCATCTGAGATCCTGAACACAGCCAGCCACAGTCTACTATGTGTTTTATGAATGTGCAAATCCAACCTTTAATTGAATTTACCACTCAGAGATATGCACAGGGCTGGCTTTGAAAGCCATTCCTTACTTCTGCCTTGTTGGGATGCCAACATTTACACAATTAAGGATTTGCTATGGCCAAAGACATCTGGCCACACAAACAAAACATTAGCTGTATTCTAGATAACATAATGGCACAGATAGAAGTCTGACAATCAGCTTGTAAAATTTAGTGAGAGAAATAGCTGTTTGTTTTACAAAGGACAAGCAGAATACTGAAAGATTAGAGAAAAATAAATATTCCATTCCTATGCAGAGCTACATAAAAAAGATTAGAAAGACATCCTGAATGCATTTGTTACTTGGAATGCACCACAATTATCAAGCTTCATTCACCCATACTGAGCGAGCTTTATCTTACCCAGTATATTGCAGATTTCTGAGAAATCATTTGAAGAAAGAAATGCTTAAAACAAGAAGAAAAATACTTGCAGCTAATACTCTCTGATCTGGTTTCCATACTCTTATCCTGAAATTGTTGCACCAAACGCAGGGGAAATATTTCATTAATAAAAAGTATCTTCATAGAAGCAATGGGCTTCTACAACTGAAGTAGTTGTTCAGGGGAATACATGCAGCATTATCAATTTATTTATAAAATCAAGTCCACGATGGATAAAATTCATCAAATAGAAAATTAATCTGGGTCCAATAACTCTACCTGAATACATTTAAAACCCAAGTACAACATAATCGAGTTCCCAAAATCAAATCTGAAAAAACATTGAATAACCAGTAAAATGTTAGATGTCCTTTAGTGTCATCTAGTGATTATTTAGGTTTTTTTTTTTCTGTAAACCAGCCTTAATCTGTAAGCAGGAAAGCTCAACAACTCTAGATATTGTTCATGCTACTACGGTAAATAGGTGGCATTAAATGCATAATCTCTCTCACCAAGGAGAAATCTCATTCATTCCATTACAGTGAAAGGTGGCTCACAATTAAACTCGGCTGCCTTTTACCAGTTGCACAAATTAGTTTCTGCTTTCAGTGGGGCTCCCTGGGGTGGATTGGGGTGAAAGAAATTCCTCTGCAGGTAACGTGACTTTATTTGATGTAAACATCTGAAGGACTGGGTAGTACATATGCTCACAATTACAGCTATTAGTATCGTTGCTGGAGCCCAACCAGTGATCTCCTACCACAGCAGAGCTATAAAAAAATATACTGCAAGGCAGAGTCCTTTGGGAAGCTCAGATTCCCAACAACTGGAGAGAAGAGGTGATGGGTGTCATCCTCACAGCTCAATATCTTCTTGGCCACCGGGACCAAATCTAACTAGAGCGTTTAGTCATGCATATGGACAAGATCCTCGGTGTTCAACTGCACACCTTGTTTCCACACACTCTTAAGTAAATTAGCAGACCTTCCACTCCTAGCTATTCCCCGGCAGGAGCCACCTTCCTGCCGCAAACACAAAACCGCATTTTATGGTAGGGGGGAAAGTAGCAACTACTCCCGGTTCAGGAGTGCGCTTAGGTGAAAGCGCTTTCGCAAGAGAAGGCGACTCCCTTTCAGCTCAGCTCTAACGCTGGCTTGGCCCCGCAAGACTCTCTCAAGCAAAGAGACCAGAGCCCGGGCACAGGGACAGAGATCTACGCCTCCTCCTCCACTTTACCCAGGCGATTGCCCGATCCACCAACGAAACGGACGGGCTGCTCCAAACCCATCAAGCTCTTTCCAACGCCGGGCGAATGCGAGCGCGCACATAGCCTCTGCCTTCCTCCTAATGCCAGCGGGAGGAGAGGGGTGGGGTGGGGGGACAGACAGCGCAGTCTTGTTACTCACAGAAAATCGATCCAAGTCCGTGGCAGCCATAGCCGAGCACCTCCGGAGGTCAGGGGCCAGGAGTTCCTTCTCAGGCGCTAGCTAGAGCAAGTCGCCTCGTCCCAAACCTGTCTCCTCTTTCGATTGATGCAACTGAATGAATCCAATATGGCCACTTCCTGGAAACTCCCCCTGTTCGGCTGGGGAGAACGCAGACGCGGCCCGCCTCTTGGCGCCCGGGGCTCCCAGCCGTGGGCAAAGCCAAGTAGGGCGCTCTTTGGAAGGAGCCCCCGTGAGCCCCTCCGGTTGGAGAAGTCTCCCCGGAGCGGCGAGAAAAAAGCACCACGTTACTTGCACCTATCCGGCATTCCACAGAAGGAATGCTGGGAACGATCGCCCTTTGCTTGTCTCGATTCCAGGCGGATTTGGGCAATCTCGTTTGGCGGCTCTGTGCGGATATACGTGTGTAAAAGAGCTATTAAAAAATAACATCAATTTATAAAGATAATGCTCTAGTATCATGCATTTTAGTATAGCATCATCGCTTTGCAATAGCTCTGTAAATAAAGTCTGTTGTTCCTCAACTTTATGTCAGAGTGCAGGGGTCCAGAGAGCTGATAAGTTGCTTAATTTAAAAGTAAGCTTCATTGGGATATAACAGAAATGGGCAACAGATTTTGGGAGACAACCCTTGCTGGTAACATACAAAGGAGAACGTTTTTGAAAGCAGGTGAGGCCTGAAAAAAAAATAGAAAAAGCATCTTGGAAAATCCAAAAACATCTGAAAGAAAGATCTTCCAGATCAAGAAACAAAGTGGCACATTCTAAAGCTATATACTTTTGAATATGGGGCTCACAAGGATAGTGTGGTGACTATGGGTCATAAGCTGTTGTCTAGGACTGCAAACCTGATTCTGTTTAATCACTGTATCACAAGTCAACAGTTTTGTGGGTTCATAGAGACATTTTATTGCAGTTGTTTTAAAATTTTATTCAACCTTATCTCCAAAATAAGCCTCCGATGCTGCAATTCTATGCTCATTTATTTGTTGTTGTTAATTGCGAAGTCGTGTCCGACCCATCGCGACCCCATGGACAACGTTCCTCCAGGTCTTCCTGTCCTCTACCATCTTCTGGAGTCCATTTAAGTTCACACCTACTGCTTCAGTGACTCCATCCAGCCACCTCATTCTCTGTCGTCCCCTTCTTCTATTGCCCTCAATCTTTCCCAGCATTAGGCCCTTCTCCAGTGAGTCCTTCCTTCTCATTAGGTGGCCAAAGTATTTGAGTTTCAACTTCAGGATCTGGCCTTCTAAAGAGCAGTTGGGGTTGATCTCTTCTAGGACTGGCCAGTTTGAACGCCTTGCAGTCCAAGGGACTTGCAGGAGTCTTCTCATTTATTTAGGAGTGAGCTAAGTAGAACATTCCCAAAAAGACATTTATAGTATCATTTATTTATTTTTTTTTATTTATATTTTTATGTTCCTCAAAAAATTCAAGGTGCTGGTAGCTTCTCTTTCCCCAGACATTTTAACTTCATAATAAGTACATGTGATAGATTAAGATATACCCTCTAGGCTAGTATCATCCAGTGAATGTTGTATCTGAGCAGAGATTTAAAATCAGAGTCATGCCAAGTAGGAACACCTAGTTAAACTTGGCTGATTTCCAAAATGCATCAAAGATGTACTATGCTAGTATTTGGATGAGAAACCACCTGGAAGCCCAGCATTACAAACTAGACTTAAAGAAGCTGAAGGCAAACATCACCATGTTGCTATCAAGAGAATAGGAGCATATTCCCACAACTTTCAGGAGTCTAGTCAATCTGAAGGAGATGCCATTGTAATTTCCTCAGTCTTACCCTAGCAACCCAACCATGGTGCAGTGCTGATTGTATGTCCCTAAAGGCACATCTTAAAAACTGCAGTGAGAATTATTTTCCATCTGTATCTTGGGCCTTTGGGTTTTATTGTTGCAGTTTCTTTGTTGACTGCTCAATTCAAATAAATAGCCCAATGCTTGAGAGAGGCAGATGTTCAAGGATGTCAATGAAGCCACATTGCTCCATTACTGCATAAGGTGTTGTGTCTCAGCACCTCCTTTAATTGTAGTAGTTTCTAGAGCAGGGTAGGCAACCTTAGCTCTTTTATGACTGGTGGACTTCAATTCCCAAAATTCCTGAGCCAGCCAAGCTGCCTCAGGAATTCTGGGAGTTGAAGTCCACCATCATAAAAGAGCCAAGGTTGCCTAGCCCTATTCTAGAGTGTTCTTTTCAGTCCTGGCATGACATTTTGCTTCCCTAGCATAGAAAAAGAAAAATGATGGATGCATTGATGAAATCAACAAGAGTCCACCTTGAATCAAAAAGGACTTTACTTCTATCTTCATACAGATAGTCCTTGGGGCTGGAACTTACATCACTAAATGATGCAGATGTTAAGTGAGTCCTCATGTGACCGGACTGATTTTATAACTATTGTTGTCACAGTTATTAAGCAAATCATATATTTGTTAAGTGAAACCAGCTTCCCCCACTGATTTTGCTTCTTTTTACTTTTTTTTCCATGCTGTTTTAACTTCTGGCGGTTGCTAAATGAATGATTATGAGCCAAAGGCTACCTGTAGCTCCAGAATACAGGGAGTCCTTGACTTATGACTACAATGGAGCCCAACATTTCTGTTGCTAAGTGAGACAGTTGTTAAGTGAATTCTACCTGTTATAATCTTTCCTTCCACAGTTGTTAAGTGAATCGCTGCAATTGTCACACGGTTGTTACCGTGAATCTGACTTCCCCATTGACTTTGCTTGTCAGACGGTCACAAAAAGGGATCATCTGACTCCGGGTCACTGCAGCCATCATAAATATGAGTCAGTTGCCAAGTGTCTGAATTTTCATCACGTGACCATGGGGATGCAGTCATGTGGAAAATAGTCATAAGTCACTTTTTTCAGAGCCATTGTAACTTCGAACCATCACTAAATGAACTGTTGTAATTTGAGGACTAGCTGTATATCAGATTCATTATTACACAATTAAAGATCGGGACACAATATGCATATTCATTTTTTTTACTCTGCCACAATGTAAAATGCCATTTTTATTTTTGTGTCATTGTATGTTTTACTTATGTTTTTCCTTCTTTTGGGATGCTTTTCATTTGTTGCACAATAATACATTCTGCAGTTAAAACTGCAATATCAATAAATACATTTGCTAGAGTCTCCTAAAATATTTATGCCTTATTTTCCTTTATTCACAAGATTTAGGAATTGCTTCCTTATTTTTCTTGCCCGTGTATATTCAAACAGGAACTATAGTTGTATTCAAGACAATAATGGCTTATCCCCTCATAGTGATTCTGCTGGTCTAATCTGGAATGAACAAGGTATCTCAAAGCACATCATTTGAAGATGACCAGTCTTTCCATCATCCTGATATCTCACAATTAAAAGGCATCCAGGATTTAGAGGCTGTTTAGACTGTTTTAGCATGCAGGACATCATATTCATGTATTTGTATTCATATGGGTACATTTGTGAGGCTTTCTTGAACCCAGCACTGTCCACCCAACACCTGGAACCAATATATGTGACACAGAGATGCCTCAGCCAAACAATGAGGAGTGCTCAGCCCATTTTTTGCACATTTCCATGCTCCAAAACACCAACCCCCCTTTTCCCCTGTCAAAAGAGTGAGGCAGAGCATATGTTTCACCAAATTCTAGCCCCTTTACCAAATCCTGACATTCAGCTATAGATGAGAATAATAAGAACAGGGAGGTTTCTGGCATGTTAGCACTAAAATCAGCATGTTTAAAATCTAATTTGCAGCCTTCTTGGGCTAACATTATATCTGAATAACAGAAAGTAAAATGAAAAGAATTAAGAGTGTGGTATGCATATAACTTGGGATGGGTTAATCAAAAATCAGTCCTCTTGAAATCTATGGGGAAAAGGAAATATGCTGCATATTTATCAGAATATATCTTACAAAAGGAAAAATCTAACTGTTGTTCTGTATATCTAAAAATGTCTTATTTCTTGATCTAGTTACATAATTATTTCTCCCCTATAAGCCAGTGGCTATCTCTTACAAATTTAGGCAAAAACTAGCAATAATTACAATAACAACAAAAACATTTTTTAAAAAACTGTCCATTAGCCCTAAGCAAGGAAAAATGTGATATAAACCTATAAACAAAGAACTGGGTATTGATTATTGATTATTTATTATTAGCTGACACTGGCTGACTTGTATTTTTTCTTATCATATTCAAGTTTTTATTCTATGCATATAAAGGTAGTCCTTGTTTAGTGACCACAATTGGGACGGGTAATTCTCTTACTAAGCAAAGCATTCGGTAAGTAAAACACAACCGTGCTTATGATCTTACTTCAGCTTTCCTTTGCTTAACAGACCTGCAAAAGTAAAAAAAAAAATTGAGGGTTGGTCATAAATTTACCTTTTCATCACCATCATAACTGTGAATGGTTGCTAAACAAGGCAGTCTCTAAATAAGGACTACTGGTGATTTTTATTTCTGTTTTAGAATCTACATTTCAGTGTAGTCTTATTCATTAATGAAACAAATTTTGTTTAATGGATCTTAATATCCTAAACATTATGCAATCCCAGGATTATATAAAATCATGTGAGAAATTGACTGTGTAATATAATTCTTTATACATGAACAGCATAAATATTTTCATGTCACATGTTGATCAGTAGCTGAAATAATTTTCTTCCGGTTTCAGTGATTTAATGAACTATTCCTTTATCTAGATTGATTGTGCTGGCTAAGTTGGTCTCCAGCTTCCGATAAGATGGCAGTGCAGTGAGGCTGCAAGTACATAAGCTCCATCTGATAATTTTAAAATTCATTCTATAAATACTGGGTAACAACATGGCATCAGTATCTGTGTAAAAAGTTGGGCTCTCAATAAGATCTCATCACATGCCATAGTGAGCTTACAACCTAAAGGAAGCAGGCCACAGGGTAGTGTCAAAAATATAAATTCCAAACATTCTTGGTTTGTAGCTGTTCATTTTAGCTACAGGCCAACTTTCCATGACATATCATAACGTTTTTTGTACAAGAATATTAAATGCCTATCCTATATCTGCTCTCCTTACTTAAAATCACTTGCCTATAAGGGACACAGAATCCTGATATTTTTCAAAGTAACTCCACACACGTCTCTTCTGTTTAAAACAAACCCTTAATTCCACAATCGTTAGTCATGTTTACAAATGTGAAAAGAACCCTCTCTTTGAAGGTTTAGCTACTCAGCAAGATCATGTTCTGAGGAACCAATGAGAGCCTGCATGACCTTTGTATCCCATGTAGGTGCTAAATAATCTGGACAAACAAACAAACAAAT